CCCCCGGGCACCTTGAATCAGAATCTGCTTTTCAATGAGATCTGCAAAGGGAATGCACATTAAAGCTGATGAATTCTGTTCTCAGGTCTGAAATCACTTAAGTGCCTCTTTATTGTAGAAAAAGTACAATTTAATTTTAAACTCTATGCAACCCCTAACTGTTTCCACACTCCTTCCACTTATACTGATGATTGCTTTGTTTCTTTGGTGCTGGCCATGCCTTTCTCCTTGATGTGGGCTCCATGGCACACTTGAGGGTTTCACCAAGACCTCAAGCCTTTCAGCTGAGACAGCTGGATGTCAGGGGACTTACTGTGAAAAATAAGTTGCCTGGGAGAGAAAACCCATGAGCGTCTCCCAGACGTTAGTGTATCTGACCAAGTGAGAATAGCCGGAAAATTGCGAGCTGTGGAGCAAAGGAGAAGCCGAGACATCAGGGCACTTCCTGGGAAGCCCAGACCATGAAAATGCAAGAGAGAAGTCAGGCACTAAACTGGGAGGGCGGGAGAGGCCCAGGGAGTGAATGCAAAAAGGAACTTGATATACTCAGAGGCTCTGATGATTACTGCACAGATAGCTCAGCGTTCATGCTCACCTGTGGCTATGCTTACAACCGTAGTACTTCCAGCTGTGTGCCTTTGCGTGCACGTGCTTCACCTGTTTCATTTTTTGCACACTGTTGTTGCACCGTTTCACGAAAACGTTTCTGTCATCGCAACTTTATTTCTGCTAATTTTAAGTTCTCTCTTGCTCGTTGTTTGAAAGTTGAGAAATGTAGGCATCCTTATGCAGTTTTGCTCCGAGGCCCATTTGCAGCATAAGCATCCAAGCCTTTCCAGCCTAGGTATCTCATTGGTACCAATTGCCTCCCCAAGGTCATTCTCACCACTGACACCCCCCCCCCCGGGGAGCCTCGACCTTGGACACTGGGCACCCTAGTCATCCAGCGCCTGTAGGTTTGCACATAGGAAGCAGAGAGTTGTGTATGTGCAGCTTGGGCATAAAGCAGAGACTGAAAGGCAGTGACACTTTTGCATGGATGGGCCACCCAAAAACTCTTGGCATTAGGGCAGATAGATGCTGGTTTTTCATTTTTATCTTTTACTTTCATTCCACACACTACCCTCCAAAAGCTGCGTCTGCTTTCCAAGAGCGAAGAAGGCAAGGGGAGATGGACTGTGCAAAGCAGGTAGCAGGATTCATGCCTTCTGAAGGACCGACACATTAACATTGGGGAGAGTACTTTCATGATGTTTTCTACTGTTTTCACAAGCGTGTAATACGGAAGAGCGGTGAAGGTTTTGACAATGTCAGTCTGTTCCGGACTTGTAATCAAAGCAGCTGCGCGACTTCCAGACGTGCCGGGCCGGGTCCTTTTGAAGTGGTGGCGTTTGCAGCCCTTTGTTCCCAGCTCTGCTTCCCATCTGGCAGTGCAGCGCCTGCCTGCCTGCCTGCCTGCCTGCCTTCCCCGGGGCCCGACAGGAAGCCCACTCCCCTGCTCTGCAGGAAGAATGCGCAGGCGCTGAGCCCCAACTCAGCCTTACAACTTCCAAAGCTGCCATGGAAATGTGGATGAGCCGCTGGGGTGGGAGGGCACGTAAGCGTTTGCGTTTAAATGTTTAACGGGAGACGACTGAGGGGGACAGTAGGGACGCCCTGCCTGTGGTTGATTGGAAAACCCTGGGGGGGGGCATTTACTGGGAGGATAGGCCATAGGGTGCCTGCTTTGGGAGTGCCCATGGGCCTATTAGGTTTATTGATCATGATTAATCTGAAAGAGCTGGCTTCCCCACACACACACACTTTTTTTTAAAAAATAAAGCTTTGGCTGGTAAAGCCATAACCTGGAGGCAAATCTAGTTTCAACCTGAAGAGCTTTTTTAAAAAACCTCACTCAGTAGATTTATGATCATCATGAGTATTGATATGACTTTGAAACTTTTATGCTTATAGAATAAAGCATGGTTTTCAATGTATAATGAAACATGTAGGAAACTTAAAGCAATTAAGAAAACTAGAATACACTTTAACATAGTTATTTTCTTCTAAAGAGAATTCATTACCCTTGAAAGCTCATTTAGTATGTCAAAAACGTAACCCTACATCAATGAGCTGAGTAAAAACGGAACAGACCTGAAAGGGAAGGTGTAAAATGTGCATGTGTGTGTGTGTGTGTGTGTGTGTGTGTGTGTGTGTGTGTGTGTCTGATTTGTTTGTTGATGTTAAAGGAAAACTCTGCCTCTGTGGGATTGTTTCCGTGAGGGAAACGGAACATTAAGAAGCACTATTTTAACACCAATCCCAACAGTCAGTCACCGTTTATGAACATGTCCTGGTGTCTGTAACGCATTCCATCAGGGACGTCAGAGTCCCAGTCAGGGAAGATGTGGCACAGGAGGCATACTTTTCAGGAAGATCAGTTGAGACGGCAGTTTTGGGGAGGGGTGTCTGGATCCTGGAGAACTCAGCCCCTGAGAAAGCTTGGTGAGAGGGGAGAAAGCTGACCTCCAGACCTCCAGCCATTTCCACCCCCACCCCCTCCCCTAGCGACCAAGCATCACCCTCGTGAGGCCTCGTGGCGTTTGCAGAGGGCGCACAGCTCCCACCGAGCCTGGCGCCTTTTGTGCAAGCACCAGGGATGGAGGCGGGGGCGGGGGTTGGGGGGAGAGGCCCAGGGCACATGATGCCCGCCCCCGCCCAGTCCGCCCAGCACATGATCCAGGCCGGCCGGCGGGGTCCTGGCAGACCTGGGACGCGTCCCCGAACACAGCCCATGGCCTCCCCGCGCCTGGGGACCTTCTGCTGCCCCACGCGGGACGCCGCCACCCAGCTCGTGCTGAACTTCCAACCGCGAGCGTTCCACGCGGTGTGTCTGGGCAGCTGCGCGCTCCGCCTGGCGCTTGGCCTCCTGCAGCTGCTGCCCGGGCGCCGGCCCGCGGGCCCAGGGGCGCCCTCGACATCCTCGCGGTCCTCGGCCCGGGCCCTCGCTTCCACCCGAATCCTGCGCGCGGTTGCCGCCTGCGACGTGCTCGGCTGCCTGGGTAAGGGCGCACGGCTCCAGGTTAGCCCTGGTTCGTGCACGATTAGGGGCGTGTGGGCCGCGGGTTGTGGTCTGCTCGATGCCTGGGCCAGGGCGCGTGGCCCGTGATCTGTCTGCTCAGTGCCTGAATCAGGGCGCGTGGCCCGCGGGTTGGGCAGCACGTCTGCATATTCGGAGCACAGAGAACCGAGAACCAGAGGCGGCTTCCTAGGGACCCAACGGGACGACTGGGGGACTGCAAAACAAAGTAGTCCGTGAAAGTTAAGTCCAAGACACACTTGTTCCTAAAAAACCAGTTTGTAGCGTTTGCTATTGCAAGTTGACTAGAGAAGCTTGAGTGCAGTTAAGGCAAACCCAGAAAATAATAAATGCATCATTATTCCACCAGTGAGAGTATAACAGGTGTGTGTGTGTGTGTGTGTGTGTGTGTGTGTGTGTGTGCGCGCGCGCGCGTGCGCATGCATGGCTATATGTGAGTGTGTATCTTTCTTTTCCAGGTTTGGGTTTTATACCACTGGTAGGCAACAGCAGGCCAAAGTTCTGCAGGCCATGAACTAAGAATGGTTTTATATTTTTAAATGTTTTTAAGAAAAATAATAAAGTATTCCATAAAATGTAAATGCCAGTGTCCGGAAGTACAGTTTTATGGGAACACAGCCCTGCCCGTGTGTTTGCATATCGTCTGGGGCTGTCTTTGTCCTATGGCAGCCGCTGAACGTTGACAGAGAAAGTATGACCCATAAAGCCTAAACTACAGAAGGTGCCAAAAAAATGGATACACATTTTAAGAAAGGAAAAAAACTGTATTAACATTGTAATACTCAATATATACAAATAACAAACGATGAATACACATCACGTGTGACGTCTGCAATGACAAGAGGTGCTCAAAGTGGTTCCCATCAGCGTCCAGACACTTCTGATGATGGCGAACTACTGCTTGAGCAACGCTGACCAAAGTGTCCACTTGTAGATATCTTTTTTTTGGCACCCTTGGTATTTACTGTCTGGCCCTTACAGAAACTTTGCCAACCCAGCTTTAAACTAGAGCATGGCACTTTTTAGAGACCTCTAAGCTTTCTCAGATTTGAGGAACTATGACAGGAAGCAATACTTCCTTTCTATTGAAATCATTTTGGGAGAGGATAATTAAACCAAAAATTAGTTTCTTCCCCATTCTGCTAAATCACTTTGGAAAAGTGGCTTCATAGTAACGTAGTTCCTGTAATTTGACTATCTGGAAGTAAAAGAGGCACCCAAACATCTTTTGAGACCCAGTGAAATATTTGCATATTCTTTCACCTTTGGAAGAGAGGTGGGTGATGCTGTGGGGAAATGAGCAGAAGCAGAATTCAAGAAGTTTTGGTGAGCGGACCCCCTCACTGAAAAATAAGAAATACGGATGCCTACCTTACAGGCTGTTTATTGAGCACAGAGGAGTGTTACATGCTGAAAACAATAAGGCACTCGATAGAAGAAAAGCATTATTTTTGTTAGCTTTTTAGTATTTATAGTTTACCTTTAGTGGTGTATTACATAGTGTATATTTAGTATATTACACAATATATATTTACTGGTATATTAGACAGTATACTAGGGTACACTAGCACATAGTATACTCCTATAAGTTTGTACTTATACAAACATAAGTACAGTTATAAGTTTACAGTTCCTCTTTGGCTATATATTACAGTGTATGCTTAAACCAAGAGTATTGCATTACGTAACAAAGAACCTTAATACACACCTTAACTGCGTGTGCTATGTAGAGGAGAATTAGATAGCTGGGTCTAACAGGAAAAAAAATCACTAATAATAAATGTGAAAAACAAATGATCAAGTGAAAACCTTAAATGTAGTTTTTGCAAGAATGAAAGAACTATCTTTTTAAATTTCAGAATTGTGCTTTTTCAATCATTCTTTTTTTTGCATGAAGCCTAGTTATCATGGACATTAAAAATACAACCAAGAAGTACTGGTTGTTATTCATATAATCACTTCTTAATGCCAAATAAACACAAAATATAGAGACATGATTATGGCTTACGACGGCTTCGTGCCAGGCAGGGATGGCTTTGCCACCACAGTAGTTATTTTGTGAGTAACTCACTCTTATTTTTTTTCTCTGTGTGCACACACCAATATGGTGTGCTCTCCCTCCATGGCTTTTCCCATCTATCTCTCTATCCACCCATCCATCCATCTACCATCCATCCATCCATCTACCCATCCATCCATCTACCATCCATCCATCCTTCTACCATCCATGCATCCATGCATCCATCCATCCATCCATCCATCTATTATTTTTGGAGAGCAACGAGTCAGCTTTAGATCTGAATTAGAACCAGATACAAAGTACCATCTAAAAAAAAAAAAAAGTACCATCTAATTCTTGCTTAGGTATTGTAGTCCGGTCTGTGGTGTGGCTAGGATTCCCCGATTTCGTTGAAAACGTCTCGCAGGTGAATGGGACAGACATCTGGCCTGCCGCCTTCTGCGTGGGGAGTGCAGTGAGTATGCCTCCCTTTGTTCACCCCCTTCCCTGTTATGCTGTGGTCCTCACAATCTGGTCCCACCCCAGCAACCCACCCACCGGAGTTTGTTCAAAATGCAAATTCTCAGAACCACCCCCCCCCCTTCTCCAGACCTACTTCTCCAGACCTTCTCCAGACCTACTGGGGTGAGGGCCCTCTGTTATCTAGTGTGGTTCCTCCCTCCCCCCCACCTCTCTTAAGCAAACATATACAATACAGTCCTTACCTTCCACAAGTCCACAATCAGAACCAGCTGAAAGAAAAGAAAGTTATTGATTCACTGGCTGTATTTTACTTAATGCAATATATATATTTCTCTGTCCACTGTGTTAACGGTCCACTGAATGATCCCAGGGTCCACCGATGCTGTGTTGACCCCATGGCCTGTAGCAGGGCTGTCAGCTTCTCCATCTCTCCCCTCTGTGGCCTGCATCCTGATGGGGTACCTGTCTCAGGCCGCAGCAGGATGCATATCAATCCTGTGCTGCCTCTGACCTAGGGAGCCATTCCCTTCCCCTTCTACTGGGAAGGTCTTTCCTGCCCATACCCCTTGGTTCTCAGCAAAACAGCTCCTAGTTCAAAGACCCTGTGAGCCCTCCCGCCAGTTTAAGCCACACGTCTGTGACCTTGCTTCACCATCCGTACTGGTGCACCAGCAGGCAGTGCTTGCTGCTGCAGTCGGCCGAGGAGACAGGACAGAGGCACACACCTGTCTGCGGCCACCTCGGCCCTTGGATTCCAAGGGCCCAGATGTCTCCGGAGGCTGTCACCAGCTGCCTCCTGACATCTGCCAGCTCATCTCACACGGGGGGAGGGGGGAAGTCTGGGGCCTGTTACCAGGGCCTTTGATGCCAGCTCTTCCCAATTACAGCTGTGGATCCAGCTGCTGTACAGTGCCTGCTTCTGGTGGCTGTTTTGCTATGCAGTGGATGCCTACCTGGTGATCCGGAGATCGGCAGGACTGAGGTATGCAGAGGCCTGAGCAGGGCTGCCTGCCCCGGGGCCCTTGTCTGAGAAAAGGTCTCCAGACAGAGGCCTTTTAGCGCGGCAGACACAGTTGGTCAGCATCTGTCAGCTGGCCTTTCTGCCCAGGAATATCCACAGCAGCTCATTTTTATAAAAGGCCAAAGGCAGCATGAAAAGGCTGAGGGTTTTAGAACCCTGAAAATTAGTAATTCAATAAATTACGTATTTGGAACAGGACCAATACTAAAAAAAAAGAATTGGCATGGCTATATAGAATTTTTTATTATCTCTCAAGTTTCGGGGAGAAATTCTTCGAAGCATATGTATTGACACTTGTGCTCAGAATAGAGAACGGTGGAGCTCTGTGCTGCCTGGTGACGACTTACACAGCGTTTCGTTCCTTGTCGCTGGTGGCTTTCCATTCCTGCTGTCACTCACTAGCTGTTGACAAGTGACTTAACCCCTCTGCACGTCTGTTTTCTCAGCTCTAAAATCATACCCATCAGGTAAGGACGTCAGGTTAAGGAGGAGTAAATGGGATAATGTATGTAAATGGTTGCAGACGGCGCTTGGCATGCAGCGGACTCCCGGTAGCGTGAGTGCTGATTGTAGCTGGCACGTGCACGAGTGGTGAGGGGGCAGAAACACAGAGGCCCTAAGTGACAAACAGAAGCAAGAGGGCAGGGCAGGGCACGTGTCCAGGTCTTCGGGCTTCAGGTCCACAAGCATTTGTCCCTCACCAAGTTCATGGTCCGCTTCAATCAAGTCCCCTTTGGGTAGAGCTCTGCTTGCTTGTTTGAAAAGCAGTTTTATAAAGTTCACCCATTTAAATGTATAAAATCAATTGCCTTTAGTATAGACACAGAATTGTGCAGCCATCACCTCATCTGGTTTTATGACATTTTAGTCATCCCCCCCAAATCTCTGTGCTAGTTATCAGTCACTGCCCATGTTCCCTTCTCCTCAACCCCTGGCAACTGCTAATCGACTTTCTGTCTCTAGATTTGCCTGTTTTGGACATTTCTTTTACATGGAATCATACAATATGTGACCTTTGGTGTTTGGCTTCTTAAACATTTTCAAGGTTTATCCGTGTGGTAGATAAGCTTTGGGACTTCGTGGTAGATAAACATCAGGATTTCATTCCTGTTTTATTGCTGACTAATGTTCCACTGTATGCAGTGCAACATTTTATCCATTTATCTGTTGAGGGGCACTTAGGATGTTTTTACTGTTGGGGGTACCAGGAATAATGCTGCAAAGAACATTTGTATATGTGTTTGTGTGGATATATGTTTTCATTACATACTCCATTATTTGGGGTATCAGGAATAAGTCTGCAGTGAACATTTGTATATGTGTTTGTGTGGACGTGTGTTTTCATCATATGCTCATAGGTACATAACCCAGGAGTTCAATTCCCAGGTCATAGAGTAACCCTATGTATGACCTTGTAAGACGCTGCTGAACTGCTGAGACGAAGTTGTACCATTTCACGTCCCCTCTGGCCATGTATGATGGTTCCAGTTTCTCCACATCCTTGCTAACACCACTTGTTATTTGCTGTGTATTTTTTTTGGTTTTTAAATTTTTAGCCATGCCAGTGTATGTGAAGTGACTTCCCTTATGGCTCGTGATGCTCAGCATCTTCTCATGCACTTACTGGCTATTTGTGTACCTTCTTTGGAGAAATGTCTAATCAATTCTTTTACCTGTTTTTTAATTGGGCTATTTGTCTTTTTAATGTTGAATTGTAGAAGTTCTTTATATGTTCTAGGTACAAGTACCTTATTATACATAGGATTTACAAATATTTTTCTCCCAGTCAGTGGGTTGTCTTTCCACTTACTTGATGGCATTGTTCGAAGTACAAAACGTTTTAAATTTTGATGAAATTTAATTTTTCCATTCTTTCTTTTTGTTTCTTATGCTTTTGCTGTCATCTAAGAAACCATTGCCTCTCACCCAAGGTCACAAAGATTTATACCTGTATTTTCTTCTAAGAGTTTGATGGTTTCAGGGCTTTAATTGAGGTCTGTGATTCATTTTGAATGAATTTTTGTGTGTAGGTGAGGAAAAGGTCCACCTTTTTTTCTTTTGCATGTGCATATCCAGTTGTCTCAGCACAATTTGTTGAATAAATTCACTTTTAAAACCAATACAGTAATTGCATAAGGATCGTATTCAGGCTATCGAATACATTGGGTAGTCTTAGTAGATCCCTACTCTACAACCATTGATATTCCTCATGTATATCACATTATCAACTTTGGTCTCTCTGGCCTGAAGCTTAATGCTTCCTTCATTTTTGTTCTTGTTCCTTTCATCTTTTTACTTTTTTATTTACTTCATAAAAACTCTTACACATTTATATAGAACCTAGATATCTCTGGTTATGAAAATTCTCTAGGGAAGATAGTTAAGGTCAAAGGTAGCCAACCAGGTGTATTGGTGAGGATTAGTTTTGGATACATAAAATACATAAAATAATAATGATTTAAAGAAGACAGGAACCTCTCTATCATGCTAAAAGAGGCCAGGGCTAGGCAATCCAGGTCTCATGATGGACACCAGGGACCCAACTTCCTTCTAGCTTCCTGCCCCACCCTCCTATTGTCTGCCATGCATCCTCAAGTTGTCATGGCCCAAAATAGCTGCTGAAGCTCCTGCCATCACATCTGCATTCCAGGCAGCACGAAGGAGGAAGGGCACAATGCAAAAGAAGTCTCCCTTTAAGCAGCCTCCCTGGGAGTTTCATGCAACAATTCCACTTTCACAGTATTGGCCAGAACTTAGTTTCATGGCCACACTTTAGCTGCAAGAGGAGGTAGAACATGTAGTTGGTTAACCAAGCATGCTGCTGTTCTGCTGTCATCCAGGTTATGTTACTAAGGGAAAAAGGGAAGAATGTTTTTGGGTGGACAGCTAGCAGCATGAGAAGGCCTTGTCCCTGACGCCCAGTGCGAGTGTGTGTCCTCGTGTGATGGCTCCTTCACTCTGTTGTGGAGAGATCAGAGCTATGATACAGCTAGAGGTCAACAGACCACGGGTAGTGCAGAAAAGAGGCGCCTTGGGGAACCAAAAGGAAGCTGGAGCAAACATATGCCTCAGGCTGTCATAGGAGGATTCACTGCTCCATCCCCACCGCTTGGGGTTGAAAAGGGCAGCCTCACAGCTGTCTGCATCTGCAGAACAGGCAGAACCCTGAGAAGCCAGCCCAGGCAGTCCAGAGCCCTCACACCCGGGAGCGTGTTTGGGACTCATCTGGGAGCTCCGCGTGAGGATAGACAAAATGCTGGAGATAGAACACAGAGACTAGAGGGTGCCGGTGGAGGGTGGGTTCTGAGGGCACACCCATCACGCAGGAGGCAAACATCCAAAGATGCGAAACAAGCAGATGCCTCCCAAGGGCACGGGAAGGGCAGGGTGGAGTTGATTCTGTAGGTGTCAATTATGAGGCTGCAGCTGGTGGGGAGGGGTTCTCAGGAATTTCAGGGCAGGGGGCCAGGTTTTGCAGGGATGGCCGGATTAAACTCCACATGCCCGTCTAGAGCCTTCTAGTCCTTACCTTGGCGTGGGAGAGCTTTTACTTATCATCCTAATCCTAAGAAATGTTGTTATAAAACTAAGATTTAAACTGCTACTATGACGTGGGATACACAGGCTTAGCAATCCCAGAAGGTCTGGAGACCCTGGGGATTGCCCTCAATCGAAGACACTACTTGCTCTAAGAAAATGAAAGTGTGAGAGAAAAGGGCATCTGGGGGTCAGAAGAAAGAGCCGAGGGTCTCCAGCCCTGGGCCGCTCCTGCTCCCGGATGCAGTGCAGTTCAGACTCACGCCCTGGGGTGGCTTTCGGGCTGTATCCATGACGGAAGTGGCTGTCGCCTCTGTGACCTGGCCTAGTTCTGACTCCCATCCCTCGTGGCCATTCGGGGCCAGGGAACCACTGACCAGGCGTGGATGAGCTCCGTTCCTGGCCTCGCCCCTCAGCCCGGTCTTTCCCACCTCCTAGCACCCTGCAGCCCAAGGGTAGTGCCTGGAATGTGAAGAGTCTGCTCTGTTCAGCAGTCTAGCGCTTGCACAAAGCTGCTGGGCTGTCTTCTGAGTCTCATACAAAGTCTTAGGCTTCTGGACAAGACACACCCCGCCCGCTCCCAAACCGGAGGCTGGGAAGCTGCCCCAGAACTGGTTACAATGTGGGAAGCAGAACATGCTGGAACCATTGGCCTGTGGCCTCCCAGAGAGCCGGCTGCAAAATGTTTCTTCTCCCCGAGGCGCGTTCCTTTCATGCTGTCTCTCTCTCTCTCTCTCTCTCTCTCTCTCTCTCTCTCTCTCTCTCCTCTTGCCTTCTCGTAGAAGGGTGTGTTCACTTTGATCCCTGACTGCTCCCTTTGTCTACACAGCTGGGCTTCAGAGTTAAAATCCTGATGAGTTTGGGGGGTGTACTCTTCTTTGCCAGGAGCCTGAGGGATCTTTGAGTGACAGTGTCACATCCGATGGAGCTCCCAGCCCATCGCACAGAGGAGGTTGATTGAACGCTGGGTGTGGGAGGGAGGGGGAGCTTGGGGAAGGACTGGGGATAGGAGCGTCTTGCTTATTAGGTGAGCTGGGTACTTATGAGGACTTATGATCCCTTCAACTCTGAAAGCCTTATGTTGAGTGAAAGGAGCCAGATGCCAAAGGCCACACAGTGTACGGTTCCATTTCGATGAAATGCACTGAGACAGAAAGCAGATTCATGGTTACCAGGGGCTGGTGGAGGGAGCACTGGGGTGGACCGCCCCCTGGGTCCAGGGTTTCCTTTTGCGGTGACGAAGCTGGTTCGGGACTGGACTGAGGTCATGGCCGCACAACATTGTGACTATCCTTAGTAGATGCCACTGAGTTGTTTTCGTGTTTTATGAATTTTGCCTCAATTAGAAACAACTCTGGGGTGAGGGTTTCACTCTGTGTGTATTTTGCTGATGTTCCTGGAGTGCGGGAGTGGGTCTGGTGGTTTCCGCTGTCGGAGGTCCTCTTCGGTCCTCTCAGGACTGGCCTCTGTCTGCTTGTCTCCTAGCACCATCGTGCTGTACCACATCGTGGCCTGGGGCCTGGCCGCCCTGCTCTGCACAGAGGGCGTGCTCATGCTCTACTACCCTTCCGTGTCCAGGTAAGCCAGACCCCCACTGACCAGCTCGCCTGGTCCCTCACCTGGTGTGCGTGCACCCAGGAAATGCATGGGCACTGACCCGGGTGCGCGCCTTCAGGCCAGGCCATTGTCTCGGGGCTCACGGACCCATCCACCTGAGCCTGGGGGATGCCCACTGCAATACCTTGCACCTCTGTGCGTTTTCCCACCTCTGCCTTTCATGTGGATGTGGGTGGGTGCCTGTGCACACAAGTGCCCCTGCACACCGTGAGGTCCGTCCCTCCACAGCACTGTGTGTGCAAGGCTTTGGGCATGCCCCCTCCCCCCATGTCGATACAGTTTTCTCAGGCCCACGCTTCCATTTTGTATTCTTCAAACCGGTTTCCTCTGGATGAGCAGGTGAGTTTAACATCCGAAGGATCAGTTGGAGATGGTGTGGAAGAATCAAAGTTTCACTCTTAGAAGAGCTCTTTCGAAGCCTCTGGGTGCTGCACTTTCTCACTTCTCTTCCATTCTGTGCTCTCAAGCCATCCTGAACACAGATACAGGGAAATGTGGCCGCTGAAATTGTCCCAGGCATGCTTTCAAGTTTAAAAATCCCATCTATGCAACCATCTGTGAAGCCTCAAGGTCCCTCCAAGTACATATATTCTCTAACTTCCAATAGGAAACAGAAAAAACAGAGTTTGGACAGCATCTCTGTGTGACCTTAGGCTTATGTAGACTAGGGAGCAGCACAGCGCAGCCCTCAGGACAAACCCGGCCCTCCGCCTGCTTTTGTAAATAAAGTTTTATTGGAACACAGCCACGTCCATTTGTTTATGTATCGTGTATGGCTGCTTTCTCATTACAACGTCAGAGTCGAATAACTTCGACAGAGGCTGTGTGGTCCATGAAGCATAAGATATTTACTATCTGTTCCCTTACAGAAAACGTTGGCTGCCCTGTGGTGTAGACAATTTCTCTCCTTTCTATTTCGCCTTCCTGCAGTGACTCAATTAGACGTGCAAATCAGTGTTGCTGCGTGGTGGGCATTTACAGAGCTCTGTGTAGCTTCACCCATACAGCCTGCCCTCCCCCGGAACTTTAAAAGGACACGTACAGTGTCGGCGGCTGTTAAAACGGGATGCACTTAATTGGAAAGGGAATTTTTATCCTTCACTTTCTCCTGTGGCTCCCGGAGACTCCCGGGAAAATTACAGCAGAACATGAGGGAGCCATTGCTGCAGAGTTCACAAGGTGTCCCCATGGCCTTCAGGAGGCAACTCCTTTCATGCGTCTTCCTCCTTAAGCATCTCTTAACCCTCACACCCCATGACCCAGAGTCCTGGGCATCCTTCAAGCTCCCACCCCCGTTCTCTCATGTGTCACTTACTTTTAGTGTTTGCAAAGGTATCTCTTCCCCTGCTTATTTCCCCCTCCACTCAAGCCTTTCCAGACCACACTTTATTTTAGCCTTCGCAGCTGAAGAGGAAGAGCTTCTATTCGAAAGAAGGTGGCATCCCTAGGTGGTACTATTATCCTCCTGGTGGCAAGCAAAGAAAGACCTTGCATTTCTCCTGCGGGATTTTTGGCACTTCCTGTCATGGTCCCCCTTCCCTGGTTTGACCACTCCATGCTTTTCCAAACAAGGGTGCCTGTTTGTTGTCACTCCCCCTTCTGTGGCCACAAGGGGGCTGTTCCACCTCCTTCTTGGGTCAGGCCTGAGCAGTCCTCTCTCCCCTTTGTCTTGATTCTCTCTTGCTCTTGGCCATTTTTCGTCTACATTCTGCATTTCATAGCTGACAGTTCCTACCTTGTTCCATGCCTTATGGTGACCGATGTTTGCCCTGACCCATCCATGAAATCGTGGGCCTTCTGCCTGAACAGAACCACTGACGTGATTGTTAACATTCACCACGACAGCAAGCGTCCTTTGAAACATGAAGTTTGGGTATTTGAGTTGTTGCTCAAGGAGAGGAACTGAATCTATTCATGGTATCAGCCAGGCGTAGCCAGTAAAACCAACTAATTCATTGAGTGTCTTTGTCTTACTTGAACTGTGTGTTTTTTCAGGCCCTGGATCCACCATCCCAGCGTGCCTTCCTTTTGCCAGCAGGGGACTGTAAAAGCTCCCCCTAGTGGAATGCCTTTGAGGTCCTCTCATTGACGAGGCAAATGGAAACATGATTGATCTCCCTTACTCTTCTGTGATTTGTTGCTCATTCACGGACATGAGATATGAGTCAGAGTTCCTCTGGGCAGACTCAGAAGTAGATTGGTGTGCTTCCCTGTTTGCTTTCTCCCTCTTATCTCGGCTTCCAGATGAGTAGGCATATTTTAGACAAAGCTTTGTTTTTCAGGAATGACTTGTTTTTCTTCCCTCAGGTGTGAGAGGGGCCTGGATCACACCATTCCCCACTATGTCACCACATACTTGCCACTGCTGCTCGTCCTTGTGGCCAACCCCATCCTGTTCCAAAAGACAGTGACTGCAGGTAAAGGATAGGAAAGTTCTCCAGGCGCATGACCACGAGGACGGCCCCATGCTTTGGGCTCATATAATGACACGGGCTGTCCTTCCGCAATGATCTCAGACAAGTGACCTCATTTGTCATCCTCCAGAGACATAAGAGAGATACAGTTGGAAAGAAAGCGAGCAGGTTTAATAAATGCAAGTGAACAAGCCAACTTGGTTATGGGCTACACACATTCTTTGGCAACGTTTGTTAGTTCGAGGCCAGCACCAGTAGACTTTTCACTTCTGTCTGGGCTCATCCTGGGTCTGCCCTTGGTGTGCCTTGGAGGCCCCAGGAGTGGCCTTGGAAAACGGTGGAGATGACACAGGCGCAGAAGGAGAGGAAAGGAGAGGGGTAAACGCATGGAGTATGGACCAAAAAGTTGTGGGCCTGGTTTGTCCCATAATGTACTTGGCCTATGTCTTTTCTCAGTGGGGCAGGAAACAGGAAGTAGAGCACAGGAAACGAGTCAAATGCAGTGGTAAGGACTGGATAAAGAGGGATGTTGTAAGTCAGCAGAATGCACCGGAAAGACCTCTAGGTTGAGGCTGGAACTTGCATTACAGCCCCCACCCCATCCTCAAGGAAGCGTGACCTGGAGCACGTCCGTCTCCAGCCTCCTCAAGCTGCATGAATCTCTCAAGGGCAGAATGAAAGTAAGGAAGGTTGCTTTAGAATCAGCTAATGATTATAGAATTTTAAACCATTTAAAGTACTCTACCACTGTGAATAGGAAATCACTGAGGCTCTTTGGATCACTCTTTTCATAGTGTAAAAATAGTGTATTAAATATAACATTTTTTAATACAAAATTGCATTACAAGTGGTGATTCGATTACACCAAACAAATAAAAATGACTTATAGAAAAAAGATTGGAAAGAGACACAGATGTTAACAATGGCTGTCTCTGGGTGGACCCTGGGTCATTAATTCTCTAAATTTTTAAATATTTTCCACCGTGTGCATAGGCGAAATTTTAAATCTTTCAACGTTTTAAAACAGCAAGCGCGCATTATTTTTATAACAGAAAATATAAACCTTTAAACATTTAGTTCCTGAGCTAGTAAAATCCAAATAAAATCCTGAGGTTAATTAATAGTACTGTACTAATGTTTTCTTCATTGTGGCAAAGGTGACCACAGTTGTGTAAGATGTTACCTCTAGGGGAAGCTGGGTGTAAGTATACAGGAACTCCCTGTACTATATTTGCAAATCTTACATAAATCTAAACTCATTTCAAAGTAAAAGTTCAAAAAGTATATTCCCTTGAGTGTATGGGAATGCCAACATGGAAGCTGTGAGGCGAGCAGAGCAGTGTCTTGCTGTGATTCATGCTTTTGTGGCTTTGTTCACGGGCTCACGTCCGCTTTGGTTTCCTTCCCTGTCACTCAGTCAGGGTCAGTCATGACCATTACATGCGGTTCCCTTCTGTTCTTCACAGTGGCCTCCTTACTAAAAGGAAGACAAGGCATTTACACAGAGAACGAGAGACGGATGGGCGCCATGATCAAGAACCGGTTTTTCAAAATAATGCTGGTTTTCATTGTTTGGTAACCTTTCTTCTATGTTTCTTCATTGTCACCGGGAATGGGATATGCAAGCACTTTGTCATTTTGCTCTACCCAGGCGTGAACTGAAAGTTCCAAAGGGAAGTCTTTGGAAAGGAAATCTTGGAAACCGTGCTAGGAGACCTTTGAGGAAATGCATGTGAGACAGGAAGGGAAGTCTACAATCCATGAACCCCTGGAAAGAGAGTCAGATCTACTGAACTTAGATATGAAGCCCTTAGAACAAGAAGAACCAAGTTTAGCTTCCATACATCCCAGCCATATGCATCCGGTGTTTCGTCCAACTGCTGGGGTTCACATGGAAATGAAGCACTTGATCATACCTTTTAAATCAATTTGCATCCGTCTTGACACCAGGGTTGCTGTAACCGACAGGACAAGGCCGAGGGCACGTCTTTGGTGTGATGATGACTCATAGCGCAGGCCAGAAGAGTAGAGAGCAATTTTCTCCCCTTAGTTTCCCCACCATTTCAGCTGGATGCCTTGAAAATAGACCCTAAACCATGCAAAACAGATTGGAATCAGAAAACCCTTTGCTGGCTGCCGTGAAGCGATACTTGGCAAGACGGAGCATGCCTTTGTGGTGTTAATAATTTACGGGATACGAGGTGGTTTGGACATTCTCCTATGAGAGACGAAAATGACCTCTCTCTAAAAACCACACTGAACTTGCCGTGTCAAACTTCGCTGGCCTGCCAACAATAACACCCAAAATCTGAACATAAAATGTCAAGATAAGATTTGCTTTTGTCTCCTCCATCAAAATGTTAGGTTACTCTTCAAACGAAGACTGAATTCTGGGTTATTTGATATAGTGCTAGAACCTTACACCTGAGGTGGTGTGTGTTACCACTGGAAGGATTTGTCGGTCTCTGCTTTAGATTGACAAGAATTATATCTCTTACATAGAATACTTTTTTTAACTCCAACGTCTGTCTTTTGTTTTTTTAGTTTTGGATGTAGAAATAACATAGTGATTAGACATTTCTATACCACACAAAGTGATCACCCCAATAAGTCTATTACCCACCTGGCACCATACGTAGCTACTACAATATTATTAGCTATATTCCCTATGCGGTACTTTACATCTCCCTGACTATTCTTTTTAAATTATAGCTGACATTCAATATTATTTTATATTAGTTGCAGGTGTACAGCATAGTGGTTAGATATTTATTTTTACATTAATTTTTTTTTAAGTTGGAGAATTGGGGGAAGGGAACAGTGTTGGGGAATCGGGGAAGGGGAACAGACAAGTTGCTGTCCTTTTGTTCTTCAGTCTAGTTGTGGAGGATGTCACTTCACTGGCCCATGTTGGTATTATCATTGTGCCCTTCCCATCTGAGGTAGTTGGGTTGCCTGCCATTGGACGGCTGCTCACTGCGGCTCATGGCAGCTCATGCCTGCTGCCGGCCAGCCCCACTACAGCCTATGCTGTCGCCAGCGACTCACAGCAGCCCAGCTCCAGGTCGAGCTGTTGTTCACCATCTTAGCTGTAGAGGGCACAGCGTCACTGGCCCTCATGTGGGATCTGAACCAGGGCCCTGCTGCTCAGAGCTACTGTTCCAAGCCAACTCCTAACAACGCGCCACTCGGCTGGCCCCTACATTAAGTTCTTGATGTGCTGGTCCCTTCTTGCTGCTGAATGGTCATCCCTCCATGATGTTTAGGTCTTGGTAGACACACCCCATGACCCCCCGCATTAAAAAAAATGAATTCTGCTGCCCGTTCTCATTACCCATGTGCCATTTTCTTTCTAACAGTTGGTTGTCGAACATCATCAATGAAAGCCTTTTATTCTACCTTGAGATGCAACCGGATATCAGTGGAGGTTCTTTGAAACATGTCAGAAATGCAGCCAAGACCACATGGTTTATTATGGTAGGTGAATCTTGATTTTAAGTTTTCATCTTGAAAAAAAAAGTCAGAAGGAAAAACGAACGCATTCAGAAGTATGATGTCTTGTCATTTAGATATGTATTTAGAGTCGAATAGGTTCCCAGACTACTTACCTCTGGCCTTGGTACACTAGCTGTTACTGTCACTCATTGTTGGGAACATTAAATGGGTACAACTCTGGTCAATCAATTGGGCACCGTGTGTCAGACCTTTCAGGCAGACTCAAATGTCAGGGAATTTATCGTGAAGAAATACTTTAGACTATAAAAAGTCACAGGGGTGAAGGTATTCCTTATAACATTATGCATAATTAGAAAGCATTAGAGACAACCCTAATTTAAAAAAAGCGAATGGCTGAGTAAATTATGGCCTTTCGTCTTGATGGAATGTTTGTCAGAAGTTAAGAATGACAACTATGAGTTCTCTAGTATTGAGTGAGAAATGCAGAATATAAAAACTGATAAATACAACTACACAATAACTCACGTATGAAAACATATTGGCTAGAAATACACAAAATGATAATCAGGTGGAAACACCATGGGAAGATGTCCCCCAATGTTTTTATTATATTGCACTTATAATAAAAGTGCACACATGAACTGTTAGTGGAGAGATACTGGGTTGTCAGAAAAGTCATGACGTATTTTTTCTATGTTTTTCGTTGCAAAAATGCATCATGACTTTTCCGACAACCCAGTAGATACACACGGTCCTACACAGAATTAATATTTATGTTGCTTCAGCATTGGGGGAAATCTGATTCACAAGGACTTTAAAATAAGACCAGCATTAACTACCTCCCTTTCTGTGCCGGGGTTTGGAGTTTCGCCTGGTTCCTTTGGTTCAGTTCCTATATGCTTACCACACGTAAGTGGAGGGATGTTTCCTGGACTCATTTTTTAAAAATTATTTTTAATTTTTTTTATTTTTAGTTTTTTAGCTGAGCCATCCTGCCACCTGTTGGCTGCTCAGTGGCAGCTCAGCTCAGGCCAGGAATCGAACCGGCAACCCTGTTGCTAAGAGCTCGCGAGCTCTTAACCAACTGAGCCACTCGGCCAGCCCTTCCTGGACTCACTTTTCAGGAACCTTGGTTAGATCAAATTGTGACTTGGAAGCACCCTTGAAGATATGGCACCAATGGCCAATCTTTGTCTTGCCCCAAACCAACCAACCAGTCACTTCCAAGTGAGGCTGAGCAGTGGGCCCCCCAGTGGAGTTTGTCACCCTGGGAGCACCCGGGGCTCTCATTCCTGCTACACTGCACTCACTGGCCCATGCCTATTTGTCCCCCTTTCCAGGGCATATTAAATCCAGCCCAAGGATTCCTCTTGTCTCTGGCCTTCTACGGCTGGATGGGATGTGGCCTGAACTTCCGGTCTCCCAGGAAGGAGATCCAGTGGGAATCAATGACGACCTCAGCCACCGAGCGGGCCTTTCCGACCCAGGGGGGCTCCTGTGTGCCTCGTGACAGCCCCACTTCCAGAAAGGTGCTACATGTCAGCAGGCACACTTCTGATGAGGCCCTGAGCATACTGTCTGAAGGTAAGGACTGCGGGGGCCCGTGGCTCCCCTCGGAGTCCTTTATCAAACAAGGAGGGGACATGGTATGGAGGCGGCATCCGTGTTCTCTGGGTGTGCGTGGAAGGTTACCATGGGCGACACTGACGTTGATAGTGCATTTCACCTTCCATGTCTCCTTTCAGTATCTCAATGGTGCCTCTCATGTGGGTATTAAGCACTGTAGCCTTATGTTAATTACAACCGGCTCCCCCTGGGGCTGGATGGCATTTTGAATAGGAGATTAATTGTCATTCCAGACCCCTCAGTAACGTTTGCTGTGAGGCAGGGGATAGTATGACACAACGTCTGTAGATAATAGGTGTAGATTGATTTGCCCAGATCACTCGGGGGCATTTAAGATGAGAAGCCAGTCAGCCAATTGCAGGCTCTTTTAATCTGTCATTTTCATTGAAACACCAGTGCTGTGGCCTTCAAACTGCCCTGTGGACCCCAATGTGGTCTTTCAGGCACCTAGGAAACAATTCACACCCCATTCCAAAATGCATTTGAAAACCTGTGAGAAAAATTGTGAATTCTCCAGTGTGTTAGGAACCAAATACTAGTCCCCCAGACCCACCAACCTGTTCAGGTGAGCTTGTATGTGTGTGTGTGTGTAGCTCAGAGTAACATTCACCCGCCCTCTTCATTTACATAAAGACTATCCTGAGATAGCAAGATTACATTTCAGCTCCTCTGCCATTTATAACGAAATTTCCTTGATATGCTGCAATCAAATCAAACCCGAAAAAGTTAGATGTTCATGTTGATGGAGACCCTTGGAGACCTCCATTTTTGGTTTCGGAATTTTACATTGGCTAAAGCAGTTCTGATTACATTCATGTCTTATACATCCCAAGTTGTAACTTACAAAATAAATGTTTGGCAATGTACTACTCTCCCTGTTTGTAGTAGGGTTCCTTGTAAGGTTTACTTTTAGCAAAAAAAATATATCTTCTGGTGAGGAACAAAGGTTTGAAAATCACCACTCGGAGCTTCACGTTTTAACGGAGCTGACGATTTGTAATACATGAACAAACAAATCCTTGAGAGGGGGTTGTTGGTAACTGTCATCTTATGGGAGCACACAGGTTGTCTAAAAAGAGGGAGAGGGAAGCTGGGAGAGTTAGGACACTTAAGAACACTGAGCGGGTGCGTGCAGGGATGTAGAGGCTGCTTTGTATTTCCTCAGCAGGCACTGGGGTTGGGAGACACAGACCTGAGTTCTCTGTTCAACCCCTTTCCCATCTCCTGTCTCTTCTTCAGAGTGGGTCCTCATCCTGGGCATTTCGAGCTGTGTGAATCTTTGTACTGAGGGCCGTCCTATGCAATGTGGGGTATTGAGCCCTATCCTTGGCCTCCACCCACTCAATGCCAGTAGCACTTCTCCCGGTTGTGACAACCCAAACAGTTTCCAGACGTTGACCAATGGCCCCTGGGAGCCCCAATGACCCCAGTTTAGAATCAGTGTCTCAGAATAGTCTGTCCAAAGCCTGGAACCATAAATTTGCTTTCCCCAACATGTTGTCCGAGCTAAATGAACACACACACACACACACACACACACACACACACACACATGCGCGAGCTAAACCAAAGACAAACACCACAGAACCCAAACCACTTTGTGCAGAAATAATGTTGAAATGTGGAGCAAAGAAAATATGCAGGAAGAAGTTGGGAAATGAGTTCAGAGTTTCATTTTCTTCCCCACTCCTACTTACTATTCAGATACATTGAAGGAGGGTTTGTTTTTAGGTGAGAAACTGGGTTCACTCTCAGGGCCATAAAATAAGGTGGTGAATTGATAGATTCTCAGAGATGGATCCTGTCTGGTTCGAATCAGAGCCTCAAAGGGATACAGTAGATGTGGCTACTAGAGAGAGACCACGTGTGTCCAGACTTTCTGTCCAGTCAAATCATTCCTCAAGGATGAGGGAACCACCAATGGGATTGCTGTTAGGGTGGAGCCACCTGGGGAATGAGCCAAAATTTTTTATCTTGAAGTATCTGGCTTTGTTTGCATTGCCATCCTGGCATTTTTAAGTGGCTGAGCCCATCTTTGGAGGTCAAGTAAAACAAGGGAAATGACACTAAACCCCACCCCAATCTGCCCTGCCCCAATCACCACCAAGGGGCAAGATCACTCAGCATTTCCTTAGTCTCGTTCTGTGCTGCAAACTGTGGTATGGGTCTGTCCCTCACAGGTCGGAAGTTTCCACACAGACGTTTTAGGGACAGATCGAGACCCAGCAGAAAGATGAACAGTGCAGGGGTCCTGGCGGCCGCTCTCCGTCAGGGCTCCTGTCGGCCGCTCTCCGTCAGGGCTCCTGTCACTCACCTTCTCAGTGACAGCTTTCGCAAGGTTCAGGTAATGCCCTCATTCACGGCAGTGTTGCCATGCATGAAGAGGTGTTTGTCTTGAGCACTGCAACTCCATGTTTAGTCAATTTATCATTTTGGAAAATAATGGAGGAAGGAAACATCTTAAAAATCTTTGAGTGTCTTACCTGCTGAAGTTGGACATAGTGGAGTTTTCCTTCAGACTTCGGGCTGCAGGGGTCACAACGAATTGTGGAGTGGTCCCAGTCTCATGCTGCCTTCCCTCTCCTTTGCTCTTTCTAAAAAAACTGAGATGTAATTCACACACCATAATAATCATCCTTGAAAAGTGTACAGTAACTCCTCCGTAAACGTCGTGGATATGTTCTTAGCTCTGCAGCAATACGATGCGGTGCGCCCCTAAGGTACCGTCATCACTGCTTTGTATAGTAACTCTGCTGGAATTTGCATCCATGATGCTAAAAAGAACTCAAAGGGATTTGATTCAGAAATTAGAACATTTCAGTATTTTGCTGCTTAGGACACTTCAGCCCCTTTATGAAGATCCCCACATGGGACTTTGGCATTTTTTTTTTTTTTTTGCTGAGCCATCCTGCTACCTGTTGGCAGCTCAGCGGCTGCTCAGCTCGGGCTGGACTCGAACCGCTGTTGCTCAGAGCTCAAACTCTTGAGCGAGCTCTTAACCAACTGAGCCACTTGGCCGGCCCCCACATGGGACTTTGGGCTGTTGTCACCATTGATCTCAGAGGACAATTTTAGAATTCCCACAATTCTACTTCTCACTCATGATCCCATCATTCCCATAGCTCCCCTTTCCTTCCATAATCCCTTGGTGTTCCCACAATCCCCTATCCATGATCTCATCCGCCCCATAATTCCTTGTCTCCCACAATTCTATTTTTTCCCATGATCCCTCATCATTCCCATAATTCCTTTATCTCCTATGACAGTTAATTCCCCATAATTCCTTCTGTCTCCCACAATTCCAACTACCTCCTATGATCCTCTGTCCTTCCTATAGTTCCCCTTTCCTCCCATAATCCTTTGGTGGTCCCATAAGCCCCTTTTATTCCCATCATCCTTTGTCCTTCCCACAGTTCCATTCCCCCCACAATGATCCCTTTCTCCTAGAATTCTATTTCCCTCACATGATCTTCTGTCCTTCCTACAACCCCTTTTGTCTCCCATGATTTCTTAGTATTTCCACAATTCCCCTACCTATACATGATCCTTTGTAGTTCCCACAATTCCCCTATCTCTACATGATGTCATTGTTCCCATAATCTTGTTGTCATACCCACCATTCCATTTCTCTGCCACAGCACTCCGTTTTCCCCACAATTCCATTGTTTGCCCATGGTTCCTTGTTTCCCACAGTTTCCGTTTCCTCCAATAACCCCTTGGTGTTCCCACAATTGCCCTCTGTCCAGGACCTCAATTTTCCTAAGATTCCCTTTCTCTTCTGTGAGCCCTGGTCTCTCCCACAATTCTCCATTCTCCGCATAATTCCCATTCTTTTCCACAGTCTGTTTCCCCCCTAGTCTCTTATGTGTCCCACAACTCTCTCTTCTCCTGTAATTGCTGTCACCTCCACAATCCCTCATCTCTCCCTCAATTCCCAGTCTCCTATTATACTGTCCTTGCCCGTAATTCTTGCTGCTTTCCCCAAATTCTCTCCTGCACGTCCACATTTCTTTGCCCTCTCTCATACATATCCATTCTTTGTCTTCTGTGATTCTCTTGAATGTCACTTGCCCTTCCTCTGAATGTAACTCCAGGTGTCCCCGCAGATTGCAGTTGCTTGGAGTGTGGGAGAGAACATAGCCCAGGGTCTCCTAGATCAAATTCAACACCTTGAAGGGGCTCCAGGCGCAGGTGTCATATGCTTCCTAGGGCTCATGTTCAGTGCTCAATACTTGGGGTTTCCGACCTATAGCTTCAGGCTTTCAAGGGATCCATGAAAAACAACTGAGAGTGCAGAAAACAGAGCTCTATGTGGGGTCAGGAAGTTCCCAAAAACTTGCCTGGGCTTACAAGGCATATTAAAGAGGTTGCCAGGGAGGGGCCTGGCTCTTGGGCATCATGAGTTCTCTGGCACCTGCACTTCCTGCAGGGACACTCGTGAGATAGTCACATATTGCCCCGATAGAGAATTAGTGCACGTCCCCCAATGGCCTTGTTGGATTATACTGTTAGAGACTTGCTCAGCTGACACGTTCTCTCTTGGTGGAGATGTTTAAGACCACAACGGCCAGCACCCAGTGAATTCAGTGCAGGCAGGGCTGGGCTCAGGGGCCTTGGCACCAACCACACTGGCATCTGAGAAGGTTGTTACAGCACAAATGCATCTCCTCTGTGGAGCCCCAGGGGAAGGATGAAAGAACCAGGAATTTTTCAAAAGCCACAGGAGTCAGAGTATGCCCCAAAGGGTGAGGTTACAGGAAGGCCCTCAGCCCAGGCCTTGATCACATGCCCCCCATGTGACATTCCAGCCCAGAGTCTTCCTGAAAAGATGACAAATCTCACATTAGTTCCCATGAGCCCAGGGTGTTCTAATCCACCATGGGTGACCCTGGGAAAACCAAGTGTTTCTGAAGAGCTCCCAGCCCCTCCAGCAGGAATGGGGTTGTGGAACTGGAAGTGTCTTCTAGGAGTCTTCCCAGCTGGTGCCTGGTCTCCAGGAAAAGCAGGCTCACGGCTCCAACAAAAGATCTCCTTTCACCCTGGTCGGCAACACAGACTCTTCTCGGTTCTGGCCGCAGGGTCCATGGCCATAATATCAGCCCTTCTGATATTCCTTCATCATACTCGGTGTGACTTACTCAGGCTGTATTCTCCCAGACTTGTCCTAATGCAGCCCTGGGAGGAAGATATGCATGCTGCTTTCCCACAGACCATGGTGGGTTTTGTGGGGGTGGGGTAGGAGGCACTGTGGTCCCATACTCGTTTCTCTTGGTAATGTCATCACCTCTTCCTGTAACTCGGACTTCCATAAATACTTCCAAGCACATCTCTCCTATCACCACAATGTATCGCCTCCACTCTTCCACAGAACACTAATGTCCTCTCTTTTCTTCCTAAGAGCCCTCCAAAACTCTGCATGTATCACATTTTACACTGTGCTTATTCCTGCCTTTCTTTATATGCATCAATCTGCCTGCTCCAAGGCTATGGGTAGACGCTGCACCCAACGGACGTCAAGTCGTGTCCAATTTGTGCTTATCCACTCAAGATTTGTTTCTCAAGAATTTTCTGCATGCCCGGTGCATTTTGGGGTGCTACAGTACTATGGTGAGTAAGATAGACACATCCCTGTGCACTGAGACTCTCCATTGTACCAGCAGAGATGGACGATGCAAAGCACAAGTAATTATAATCTCCCAGGTAGTGAGAGGCTATGAAAGAAATGAAATCGGGAGGGGGCAGGAGACTGGTTCTCTGTAGGGTGTCCTGGACACCTCCCTGAGGATCAGGTAACATCTGAACTGACACCTGAATGAAATGTAGGAGCCACAAGAAAATGTGGAGAAGAGCTTTACAGGCAGAAAACAGATGTGTGAAGGCCTGTGGCAGGACTGAACCTGGCGTGTGACGGAGAGGCCAGTGTGCCGGAGTGAGTGGACAGGGACAAAGAGGAGGCTGCAATTGTCAGCCAGGCCCCTTGGTGGAGGGAGTCTGGGATATGGCAGTTTCCATGAAGGGCAGTCACATGCCCCATGCGCAGTTGAAAAGACCACTGTTCTTCATGTCTTCCATCTCTCTGGCCTCCACACGCAGCTCAGAACCTGGCACACGGCAGAGTGTTTGCCGAATGAAAGAACAATTCTGACATCTGTTGCAAAGGACTGTCACAGGTTGTGAAGGAAGGTGTGTTCTTGGAATGACTAACCAGACCTCTGGATGACTGTTGGCAGGAATGACTTTCTTTCCTTCTACTGATAACCTCCATCCCCTAAAACCAGGTGGTATCATCCATGAAAAGACGATGAGGAGGTGCCTTGGTTTGACAGAGGGTGGAGCTCTCCCTCCGTTTGGGCACCTCCTGGAGTGGAGTGCCCAAGGCCAGGCTACCACAGGCCTGATGCCCATGATGGCGCCTCTGTGTAGCAGCTGCACCAGCAGTCACAAAAGTGCACTGTGGCCTGGTGCTCCTAAACCCAGTAACATTTCTGAAGTTTAGAAAACGCCTTCCAGGACATCGACACCATCACAATCTCTTCTCTTTTCCTCTGTAGGTTCTGATGCCAGCACAGTTGAAATCCATATTGCAAGTGGGTCCCGCAACAAAAATGAGGTTGAACCTTTTCCAAAAACCCAGGGAGACCTGTGAGAGGGACATGGCGGGGTTCCCACCTCATCTCCTCAGATTCTACATTTCTCATTCGTTAGAATTGTGCCCTCGCCTTCCCATCTCTCCTGTGCCAGGGTGTGACGTCCCTCAAAAATCTCTCTCTCATCACCATGTTACAGCTCCTTCCCGAGGATGCTCTTTGTGATAAATGATCCATGACTGTGCACATGCGAATGAAAGAATTCCTTCTAGACCAAAAGCTCAGCAGCTTCTGTAGATGCAGCCATGTAATGCCAGGTCCAAGTCCTTGGGGAAAGTTAATAAAAAAGTCATAACTGAGCTCCCAGTCTGGCCTGGATTCTGTGCGAACAACACCTCCGGCAAACGCTCTCTAGTAAGGCAGCAAAGTGGAGAAGCAGCGGGATACACGGGGCACATGGAGGGCTGCGCAGCGCGCACGTTCACCACCAGAGGGCGCCAGAGGGCAGCTTGGAGCAGGAATTTTAGCCTTTGGTCCCCACGCTGTGTTCAGCAATGGGTCTCAGGAATCCTTGGAACCTGACGTATGCTCAGATCATTGCCTAGGTCTCCATCTTTCCACCAGTTGAAAATATAAATACACACACACACACACACACACACACACACATTTGGCAAAAATATTGGAATATGCATTGAAGTTGCAATCCGGCAATGTTATTGGAGGACCTGCTATACTTTAAACCTCCGTGGCTTTTGTATAGTCTCAAAGTTGTGAAACTATCACCACTGTCCAATTCCAGAACAACGTCATCACCCAAAAAAGAAACCTCTACCCCCCACTCTTCGTCCCTTCCCCATTCCTCCCTCCCTGACCCTCAGCCCCTGGCAACCACTAATCCACTTTCTGTCTCTATGGATTTGCCTATTCTGGGCATTTCATATATAAAATGGACAACATTTGTCCTTTTGAGGCTGTCTTCTTTCCGTTACCGTCATGTATTCAAGATTCATCCACACTGTAGCTCAAATCTGAACTGCATTCCTTTTAATGCAGAATAATATTCCATGGTATGAATAAGCCCATTCTCTGTCCTAGAAACTACTGACATGGCCAGCAACTCCACCAGCCCTTGTGCTGGGAGCTGTGTGGGGTCTAGGGACCAGAGGCTGTAAGCTTTGTCCTCAAAGATGTCAGAGTCTATTGAAGAAAATAAAAAAGTTAAGACTAGAATAAACCATGCCAATGCCAGTTTGAGAAAACCTTGCTAGAAAAAATATATAAGGAAGTCCTTTTGAAAAAAGCAATTGGAATCAGTATTTTTGGGTGTGGAAAGGATATCTGTAAAAATAGCAGCTGGTAATTTAGAACCAGTGACATGTTGTTAGCTAACGTCTGTTGGGACAGGCTTTTGGAGGATTTGAGAAGCATGGAGTAAGTTTGCAAAGTTAACCTGCAAAAGTGTAGGGTTGAGGTGCAGGTGAGGTGATGGCTAGGCTCTGGAGTGTCCATCTGGTCACCCTTATAATATTGTAAGGTTGCCCCTAAGGCACCGTCATCACTGCTTTGTATAGTAACTCTCTGCAGGAATTTGTATCCATGATGCTAAAAAGAACTAGGGAGAAATTTCAGCCATTAAATCATTTCAGTATTTTGCTGTTCAGGACGCTTCAGGACATTTATGAAGATCCCCACGTAGGACTTTGGCCTCTGGGGACCATTGCCCTCTGGGGACAATTCGAGGATTCCCTTGAACTCTTCCCTGGTCAGTGCCTTTGGGGCCACTTGCCTGTCACTTGAGAACACACTTCACTTCTCTGTCAATTCTAGGGGATCCTTGAATGTCATTTAAATATTCTTCCCAGAGGCTGTGCCAACTTGCAGGAAGGTTTCGAGTCTGCCTCCCTCCCTGCCTGTGGGCACAGGCTAATTGTGAGGCAGGATCCCTGGCACGATGTAAACCCTCACCTACCTGTCGCTCCTCTACCTGCCCAACTCCTCACTCATTGCGCCGGCTTTCAGTGAGGTAAATGTGCAGAT